CGCCGTACTTATAGCAACGGATAAGTATATAAAGCAGGTACTCCTAGTTACTAGCAACGACGCGTACTTAGCGGAGGCTTAGGCTAACCGCCTGCTCGACGAATTGTTCCGATGCAATTAGGGCCTACTAACCGTAATTATCTCCGACAGAGACCCGAAATTCACGTCCGAGATATAGAAGGCTATTTTCAAGCGAATGAACGTTAAGCTGTTAATAACGACGGCCTATTACCTACAGGCTAATAGTTAGTCTAAGAGAACGAACTAGACTGTCGAGATTGCCCTACGGTATTTCCTTACCTAACACCCTAATAGGGATTTAGAATTAGAATACGCGACGCCGTATATACAATTAGTTCTTAACAACTCTGTTAACGCCTCGACTAGCATGTTACCGAACTAGGTGCTAATAGGTTTTAACCCTAGGGAACTAGCCTAAATAGTAACGACTAGCGAGACGGATTTAGTAAAGGAACGGGACGTCTACCGAGCGGAGGTAGAGAACAATATCGCCTATACTTAGGCCGCTATAAAGCAACGCTACGACTCTTAGCACATAGCCTAGAAGCTAGCAGTAGGCGATATAGTCTATTTACGGCTTAAGAATTACGCTATCCTAGGAGTTAGCAACCGAAAGCTTACGCCTCTAAGGATCGGACTATATAAGGTAACGAAGGTTATAAGCACCGGACTAGCCTACTAGATTAACCTGCCGAAAACGTAGAAGATACACCTAGTAGTCTCTATTACGGAACTCGAGCCTTATCCTAATACTAAAGACCCGTATAAGCGAGCAACGAGGCAACCCTTAAGGATGCGTATCGAATAGGGAGACGCCCTACTAGAAATAGAAGCGCTAAGAGACCGACGAGTCCGACGAGTCGGTCGGTATAGGAAGGAAGTTATAGAATATCTAGTTAGATAGAAGAACGTAGGCGCTAGAGCTAATAAGTAAATACGAACGGAGGGCATTCTACTAAAGATAGTAAAGGCCTACAATCGTCGCTACCGCTAGAATAGCAACGGAGCATTATATAACAGACTTATCTTACATATATTTCCTCTAATAACGGGATCGCGTAGCTTCTACGTAGTTCGCTTCACTTCCGCGATAGGTAGGAGCGCGTATACTAAGCTTGCGCGTATACTAAGTTTACTTTATTTTAACAACAACTTTGCTATAGCAACTTCACTATAACAATAACTTTCCGCGAGTATACTACTAAATGCGAGAGCTTAATTACGACATTCGATACCGTTTCTAGTAGCGCAAAGTAATAGAACACGATATAAGGCAGGAAACGCTACCGCTACCGCGCGACATGCCTAATATACGCAACACGACTTTGCCTAACGATCTCCTCGCGTAGACCGCCGACGCTAGTAAGGCTAATACTAACGATACGACACTGCCTAACGATCTCCTCGCGTATGCTACCGAGGCTAACGGCGAGATAGCCGCTACTAACGACACTGCTGCTACTAATTTGCTAGATAACGCTAGCGAAGGTAACGGTAACGGTCCTATAGGCAACGGCGCTCCTAATAACCTCTCGGACATCGACCTCGACGACTATCGCCCGGCTCGCGAGAGCGACGCCTATAACCTTCTTAACGAGCCCGACTCCGACGAGTCTAATACCTTCTTCCCTTTTCGGAGACCGTAACCGCAAGAGAGCAATATAACGGTAGAATAGAGAATCGATTAATTCCGAAGCGAGGTAGGATTAGTAACGGAACCTGTCTCTAATAACGAGAACAGGGGAAATAACGAGGCTATCGACGACCCGGAACCTATCTTATAGACGCTAGTTAACGCCTATCTATCGTTTACGCTATTCAACGCTAACGAGGAGACGCTATCGAAATCTAATACTAAGAAGAGAAAGAATAAGGGCAAGGGCCGACTTGTCGACGAAGACGAGATAACTCTAACTCCTCGGCTAACGAAGAAGGCTAAGAAGGCGATACCTATTACCCTAAAGGAATCGCCTATAATAGAGACGACGTCGTCGGACAAAAAGAGAGCCCTAGCTAGAGCCCTAACGGCTTAGCCTACTAAGGACCGGACTTTGAGGGCGGAGCTAGCTAAACTATCGCCTAAGAAAAAGGACAAACGTAATAAGATACTTAGAGAGCAGAGAGATATAATGCGAGACATCGAGGTTAATATACTCTACCTAGCGCCGAACGAGATACTTAATATCGACCTAGTTACGTAGAGAAACATAGCCGACGACGGCACCGAGCGAGCACCTAAGAAGGTTAAGAACTTAACGAAGAAGCTATAGTCCGAGCATAATAAGCTATTATAGGAACTTATCTAGCAACAGTTTATAGCACGTTACGACCCTAAGGCCGTACGAGTTGCGTTCGTTAGGCGATAGTACGGGGTAAGGCAAATAGTCGCTAACGACGAATACTCCGCGGACCCTATAGACCCTAGAGTATTATTAGCTAACTTCGAGGCACTCGAAAATAGAGACAACCGCCGCGCGACTAGGAAGGCTACCGATAATAGGGGTAACAACAATCTAAACCCGCCTAAATAGAAGCCTAGAGAGGAAGGTTTATTAGTAGCAACGACTAAGGCTACCTAGCCGACGGACGACCTTAGCGCCGAATTCGAAAGCAACTAGGGACAGGTGCTCTACCGCGATACGGGAGTGTAGACCGACCTAACCGACCCGTCCGTAGAACGTTATACTAACCGATAGATAGCAGCTAAGAGGGAAACGCGACGAGCGCAAGTCTAGGCCTAGTTAGAACGCAAGGAGGCGGCAATAGAGGCTAAGGCTAACAAGAAGCGAGCGGAGTTTACGGAGAGGAAGGCTAAGGCATTAGCATGCCTTTAAACGAGCAGAAATACGAACAGGAATATGCCTAAGCAGTAGACGGCCTACTAGATAACGAGCATCCAGGCAAAGAAAGTTTCGCCTAAGCAGTGGACGGCCTACTAGATGACGAGCATCCAGGCAAAGGAAATTTCTGACAACGGCACGAGGGCGTGCCTTTTCTTTTGTTTGGGGCAGACTGTTACGGAACAAGGAAGTAACGGTCCAGGGGCTGGCTGACTAATGGAGCAACGGCTCTACCTGTAATTAGCCTTCCTCAACTCTACATAATCATTATCAATCTCAACTTCATAACACACGAAACGGAGAAAAGTGAGTGTTCCACGTTGCTGAGGGACTGCAGCATTGCAAGTTTCCGTATTGACAAGCTGGTAGTACCTAGAGGAGAATGCAAAGGCCATTGAGGTGCATCTCAGCACAGAAGAGGAGAAGGAATTCCGCGAGGCAGTCGAGAGCGTGGGTGGAGGCAAGGGTGAACGATATCCTGCTGCGATGTTGGCGAAGTGCTTTGGCGACTCGCCTCTGCCGAAGTAAGGTTAGGGAGATAGCACGATCATCGAGAGGGTTCCTGGTGGCCGGCATTCGTGGGGGTGACATGTTCATCACAGCACAGCACATCCACGTCGTTCCCGCGCAAGGTCCTCGGGGACCAAGCAGGGCTCGATGTTCGGACATTTTCTATGCATACATACAGCTACAGTATTGATGCCTGGCATGCCCCGTGACCGCGACGAATTCATGTCATCACCGTGCACTTTACAGTCCGAGCGATGGCGGTGATCTCAATTGCAGGGAGAAACCGTTTCCCCAATCCCAATTGACGGCAGCGGCGCAAGCGTGAAGCGAATGGGCGCCGACGAATGACATGCCGCAGCGCAGCCGCTAGTGCGCCATCCGACAGGGGTTCCGCGCCTGCTGCTCGTGTCAACGCAGGTACGACGGGCCGCTCAGGAGTCGACGCCATCATCCATTATTATTGTTCACAGGCACGTACATATCCACGTTGGTGAAATCCGGATCGTCCCTCGATTTCCTCCTGTTTGATCTCAGATCTGTGCTGCTTCAAATAACAACACCACCCCCTCCTGGCTGGTCCACACCCATTGAAAACAAAGCATTCTCCCCGCCAAGCGTGCCGCATCACTCGTTTCCGGTACCACCACCACCACCACCCCAAGCTTCACATTCCTCGGCCCAGCCAAGCAGCCCGTCCACGGCGACACGCAGCATTCCTCGCGGCAAGCATAGCAACACACGAGAGTCACTTGACGTGCTCTTTCGCTCATCCAGAATCTCGTAAGTCTAGTCCACTTGGTTTCTGCATTCACGATTGCGAATACCATCCGACACGCACTGAAGGCCATCATGTCGGCTCGTCAATGAAAGACAACAACCCGACGCGACCTCATGCATCGCAACCTGCCCTGCCCTACACAGCGATTGCCTTCACGCACCCACCACACACGCTCATTATCCTTCCAAACCAACCGCTACGCCACCTCGTCGCATTGAGTAGTTCTAGAACGACCAGGGTACTGACTCCGCTGGCCGGCAGTTAACTCAGCATCAAACTCTGTCCGTCCATCAAAGCTGAGCAGCATCGATTAACAGAACATCGACAACATGAAGGCTGGTCTTCTCTCGCTTGTGGCACTGGCTGCCATCGCCCAAGCCCAGGTTCGCCGCGGTCACCGTCACGCTCACAAGCGTGATACCGTCGAGACTGAGGTCGAATATGTCACCGTCTATTCTCCAAAGGCCATCGTCTACGTCGACCAAGACGGCAATGTCATCAATACTTCGTATAATGGCGACCTTGGCCCAACACCTGCTCCAGCTCCCGCTCCAGCTCCAGAAAAGGCCCCAGAACCTGCTCCAGCCCCAGCCCCAGCGCCTGCTCCAGCCCCAGCACCTGCTCCGGAAGCACCAAAGCCAGCCGAGAAGAACGCGCCTGCATACACTCGAGCTCCAACCGCCAGTGCTCCGGCATCTGGTCATGGTGTCTCTTACTCCCCATACAAGGTCGGCGGTTGCAAGTCTCAAGACGAGGTGAACGCCGATTTTGCCAAGTTCAACGACTTCAGCATGGTTCGCATCTACGGTACCGACTGCGACCAGGTCAAGACTGTCGTGACTGCTGCCAAGGCCAAGAATATGAAGGTCTTTGCTGGCATCTACGACATCACCCAAGCCGAGGCTGAGGCCCAAAAGATCATAGCTGCCGCACAGAACGACTGGAGTGTCATCGACACCATCTCTGTTGGTAACGAGGTCGTCAACGCGGGCACCCACAGCCCAGCCGAGGTGGTCGCTGCCCTCAACATTGCCAAGGGTTGCTTGAAGGCAGCCGGCTACACTGGTAGCGTCGTCACTGTCGACACCTTCGTCGCAATGATCGCCCATCCAGAGCTCTGTCAGGCTTCCGACTACGCAGCTGCCAACTGCCACGCCTTCTTCGATGGAGGAAAGACTGCCGATCAAGCCGGTGACTTCGTGTATGAGCAAGCCCAGCGCGTCAAGCAGGCATGCGGCGGAAAGAAGACCGTCATCACCGAGAGCGGCTGGCCACACTCCGGCGCCACCAACGGTCTCGCCGTTCCAAGTCCAGAGAACCAGCAAAAGGCCATCTCATCCCTCAAGTCCAAGTTTACCAACGACCTCATCCTCTTCACCGCATTTGATGACACCTGGAAGTCCAACAGCGCCGCCACGTACGGCGCAGAGCAGTACTGGGGTTTCCTCTGAGCACACAGCATTGCATAGAAAATTTCGGCCAAGGAGGCCACGAGTTACGGCCAAGAGGTGTACGCATCTGTTCGATTCTTGCATAGCCTAGGGAGGAGTGCGGCGTTTCCGGGTGTGTCAGCGGCTATAAGACAGGATGGACATAGCTGCAATTCGCGCTAGGGCGATAGATTCTTGCCTTGCAGCTTCAGGATAGTTCCCCCCATCCTCGAAGGTTGCATTTGCGGGTCATTTGCGATGCCTTCTGTATGAAAGATAGCGATAGCATTAAACTTCACAACCCAGAATAAGTTCCCAGATGAAGACAAGTCAAATTTCTTGTTGCGAAATGAGGTAGAGATAGAGTGGTGGGTCAGTGGGGAATGGTCTGACAGTGGTGGAGGAGGAAGAATCCGCGTCTTGGCCTTGTGAACTCTATGTCTACCGGGCTACCTTAACTATTCCACTATTGCACTGCGCGATTCCGACACTCTGGTCCCTCCGACACTCGCTACCTTCACATTGCACCTCCCCTCACCTTTCACCATAGGTACCACTACCTCCAAACTCTTTTCCTCTTCCGCTGCTCGCCGGTCCATGAGCATGGCCTGGCGAAGCTCGGGTTCCAGCAATGAAGAGCTTATCGAGAAACTGGCACAAAATGGACTCATAACGAGTGAAAGAGTCAAGAATGCTATGACAGCTGTACGTTCTACCAAGTGCATGTCATTCAATTGGATTGCCATGTCCGGCCCATCTCCCTGAGCTCCGTCATCACTAACACTTCCATCCCTCCATCCAGGTCGACCGAGCCCACTACGCCCCCTACTCTCCCTACCAAGACTCTCCACAGACAATCGGCCACAGAGCCACCATCAGCGCTCCCCACATGCACGCCAACGCCTGCGAATCCCTACTCTCCTACCTCCGCCCCGGCAGCAAAGTCCTCGACATAGGCTCCGGCAGCGGCTACCTCACCCACGTCCTCGCAGAACTCATCAAAGCCGCCCCTCCATCATCCTCCTCATCCGGCACAGTCATAGGAATCGACCACATCCAACCCCTCATCGACCTCGCCGTGCAAAACACCAAAAAATCTCCCTCCGGCGCCGAGTTTTTGGAGCAAGGTGTGATTCGGTTTGTGAAAGCTGATGGGAGGAAAGGTTGGGAGGAGGGGGCCCCGTATGATGCTATACATGTTGGGGCTGCGGCTGCGGGGCATCAGCAGGCGCTTGTTGATCAGTTGAAGTGTCCTGGAAGGCTTTTTATTCCTGTGGAGGAAGAGGAGGGTGGGCAGAATATTTGGGTTGTGGATAAGGATGAACGGGGCAATGTGAAGAGGAGGAAGGAGTATGGGGTGCAGTATGTGCCTTTGACTGATGCGCCGGAGGGGAGTTGAGGGTGTGCTAGAGGTGTTGTGATGGGAATTGCGCACGACGATGCTAGGAGGCTCGTCTGCATGCGAGAAGACTGGAGTTTCTTGGTCGGCCTATGCTCGGTTCACTGACCGTGACTTTCGTCATGTATCTGCGGGCATGGGTGGTTATGTTATGCATGCAATGAAGTTGCCAAGAGGTGGAGGCATACGACATTCAGGAAGTGGATCACGAGTCGGCAGAAGCTGACAGGCATCTGTCTTTCTCTTCGCGAATAAACTCGACCGATGCACATACGAATTGCCTCCAGGCGACCACGACATGCATGCGACCGATCAACATTTGGACTATGAAGCTGGCAGAGTTATGCAATCTTAGCACACCGCTGGGAGGCAAAGGCAGATGAGATCAAATGAGGACCTACATCGTGGATTGATTCCCAGAAGCGATTTGGGGCTGTTCAAAACTGGATTCGACAAAATTGCCCGCTTTTGCCTAGTCCTGCGAAGTTTTAACGTTCATCCTCAGGTCTTTGAGGAGGAACTACCGTCCTTGCAGTAACGCACCTCTGAGAGGCATTTCAAATCAAGTCGGAACTGCTATATGTTCGAGATCAAGGCTACCACCTATTCCTCAATTGCATAAAGCTTTCAGAGGAGCTACCCAGCATCCGAACCATTGTACGCTCGTCCGTGTGGCAGACTGGGGATGGGACTTTCCGGCCTTTCGGTATCGTGTATGCATCAGACCACTCTGCCTATGAACCCGCGAAGGTCGAAGCTACAATGACATATCTGCAACATCGAGCTCGCGTGAGTCGCACGCAAATTTGTTTTGTTTTTGGTGATGTAATTTTTTTTCATGTGATTTCCATGCAGACCGTTGGCGACAATCTGGATTTAGCTGGCTACCGACACCACATTCACAGAATCGACGAGACCTAGCTTATAGAACTTCTGAGGATATCGAAGAGTAAGTCCTTCATGCTCTCTGATTACAACTACCAGAATTTCACGGGACTGAAAGTAGGTAACTTCATCGGATCAGGGGCTGCGGAGATTATATAAGTTGCCTCATCATTTAGCCGGCTGATGGATATACATACAACAAGAAGACGTATTTTCTTCTTCGCACATACACCCTAATAAACCCATCTAAACTCCTCAGCAGCAGGCCCCTCTCTCAACTTTTCCGTACTAACATCCTTCGGCCTCAATCTCCGGCCTTGCCTCCGATCCCTCCTCTTATTATCAAAAATCATCCAAAACCCCAACAGCAGAGTCAAAACGATCCCCGTAGCCCCAAACGCAGCAGTCGTGGCCAAAGCAGGAATGTAATCCGGAGCGTCCTGCGTCCGGAAAATATTGCTGCTCACCACACCCATCATGTTCGCCACAGGCACGCCGATCGAAGTGAGGAGGAGTCGCTTATTTTCGTCTGCGATGTTGTTGTTGTACCATACGTCCAGGATCACGGAGGGTGCGGATGTACCCCACGTCATCATGAAACACGCGTAGTACGCGACGTGGATGTTGGATTCGACGTCGATGGCTGCGTAGATGATGAAGCCGCAGAACGTGAAGAAGAAGCCTAGAGCGATGAACGGGAATCTCCAGCGCGTGTAATCGGAAGAGTATGCGAGGATCAACAGCATACAAGCTCCCGTGATGTTCGGCGCCACGGTGTAGAGGTTGGTTTTTATCTTACTGTACCCGAGCCTCGCGACGATTTGCGGGAGGAATAACCCCACGGATTGCAGCGGGATGCCCAGACACATTTCGATCAGCAAAATTACCCATGAAGTCGGGTGTCGAAGGATCTGCAGTGCGGATTTCAAGTGGAATTTTTCGTTCACGATCGCCGAGGAGTCGACTTGGATGCGGTAGAATGCGAGTTTCTTTTCTTCGGCGTTGAGGAATCGCGCGTGTGCGGCTGAGTAGGGGAGGAAGGTGAAGGCGATTATTGAGCCGAGGATTGTGAGGGAGCCTTCGATTGCGAAGAGGTATTTCCAGGAGGGGAGGCGGCCGCTTTCGATTTGGAAGACTCCGAAGGCCAGCAGGCCGCCGAATGCGTAGGCGATGTTACTCGCTGCGTAGAAAATTGCGAGGCGGCGGGCGAGTTCGCCGCGGCGGTAGAATTGGGTTTGGTAGTAGATTACGAGGGGGAAGAATGCGGCTGGAGGAGGTGGATAGATGGGTTAGATTTTTTCTTTTTGATTGATACGTGTGATGATACGTTCTGGTTCACTTACATTCGGCCATTCCGAGAAACCAGCGTAAAGCCAGGAGACCTGACCAGTTGTATGCTGCCATTGTGAGGAGAGTCATGGAGCCGAAAGTGGCCATCATTGCGGGAAGCACGCGTGAAGGTCCGTACAGTTTTCCTAGGATTCCGAGGAAGGGGGCAGTGAGGACGTAGGGGACGAAGAAGATTGAGAGCAGGATGTTGTCTAGAAGTATCATTACCAGTGAGCTACCCGGGAGTGACGATTTGATACTACTTGACTTACATTTATTCGTGCCCGCGAATCCAAGGTCTTTCTCCAAACCATCTGTTTTCGCGTTTCCGAGGTTGGCTTTGTCCAGGGAGTTGAAGAGATACATCATTGCGAGCAGTGGTAGGATTCGCAGGTCGAATTTCCAGAGCAGTGCTCTTTCCGCCTTCGTGTCGATGACAAAGGTTTCGCCATCTTCCTGCACGACCACGGTATCACCGTTCGCATCTGTGGTGACTGATACGGATTTCGCTCTGTCTGCTTCGGCTTCTGATGATGTCCTGGTCTCGCTGTCTGGCATTTTCTTGCCATCGCTGATCTCTCCGGCGCTCATGATGGGCAGAGGAAGGTTTCCGCCTTTTCCGCCGCGAGTAGGGGAGCAGTATGCAGAGGGAGAGTAACAACAAGTGAGGTCGGAAAGCAGAGAACAGAATGTGAAAACTTACGTGGAAGCAGTTACCGACTGATCGCCGCGCTCGCGTGTTCGGGCAAGCTACACCTTCGCCTGCGTGCGGAGCCCCCCAACACACGAGGAGAAGAAGGACGTGGTGGTATCGGACTATCGGTGCAGGTGTAATGTTACCACGAGGAGTTACCTGAAGCAACGATAAGCTACGCCTCGCCAAAGCCTATCTTATCTTATCGGCATCCTTGCTCAGCGTGACCGCATTCGCACTCGTGCGAAAATGATCTGCAGGCCGTCGGAACGCGGTCCTTGGCTCACTTCACCCCAATGCCTTAACATCAGTGACAGCATGCATGTGCAAAGAGGAACGGAGAAGGCGACTGCGTGCTGTTGCTGCTATCTCTCATCATGCTCAGAGCCTCACTTGGCCACGGCCCAGGCTTCACCCTTCTGCACGACCTCGCCGCGGCCTTCCATGTCACCAAGCAACCATTTCACCTCGTCATCTCCATAGGTGAATGTCGGTAGGACCATCTTCATCATATTGGTGATGCCCAACATGCCTCCAATTTCCTTCGTGCCTTGATTGCGGAGCATTTCGAGAATGAAGGTTTGGAAGGTAGGTGCCATCTGGCGAAGCATAGCTTGTTCAGACACCAATCCACCGCTGTCTACGTTGACTTCGAGTTGCGATGGCTCTTCGACCATGCTAACGTCCATGTCCAGGCTATCCAATACTGCATACTTGCCGGCAGATTTCTCGTACAGCACTTTCCGGCCAAGCCAGTAGCTGATGCCACCCTGGACGTAGTCTTCGGGCATATTAAGCGCATCGACGAGGTCGTCCACGCCAATGCCATCATCGTCGTCGTACTTGGCCGGCTGGTCACCATCCTCCTCGTCGCGCTCGTTGGAGAAAGCGTCAAGAAGACTCATCTTCCATGCTTCGATTTTCTCCTCGCGTACTGACCGATCAGCAAAATCAAGAGTAATGTCCATCGTGTCCAGAGCAGGCTTCCAAACGATCCTTCGCTGACCACTTGTGGCTGCAAAGGCCTGCTCATATGCGCGTCTGTGCTTTTGAATGCGTAGTGGAACTCTAAACTGGTCATCTCTGAGCTGCGGCCAGAAGTAGCTCGAAAGCACTCTGGCCTCGAAGTGGATCGGTTCAGGTCTCTTCTGAGGCGTGAGACCAGACTTCTCAGCAGGGAGACGTGTGCGCTTAGGGAAGTACAAATCGTCGCGGCGCTTAGCGACCAGCGCGACTGCCGCTTGAAACGGTCGACTGTCCATACGATTCTTGAATGGTTCGTATAGAGAAGTCAAGGTGATGCCATCCTTCGGGATTGCTGCTGCAATCTCTCTCGGTGTTGGGGGAGGTTTATTGCTTCGTGTTTTCGAAGGTGGGTTCAGCCTGCGATTCATGTGCGCAGACTCGCGCATGTCTTTGAGCATGACTTCGGCGTGCTGCAGCCTAGCTGAATCCAAGCGAGATTTGAGCAGCTCAATGACCTTGGTCTCGCGGACCAGATCTGTATCTTTCGTTTCGAGCAAATGCTGCCCTAGCGCATGCGAGAAGGCTTTAACAAAGTCCTCTGGTTCGAATAGCGCCAGGATGTATGCGACGACATCGTCCGATTTAGAGGCTTTGTAATTCGGACCGGCGTCAATTGGATCAGGAACCCATTCCATATCATTCCAATTTACCATTCTGTCATCCTGAGCGTCGATAGCAGAAGTGGCCACAGCCTCGCTGATGTCCCAGCACACCTTTTCTGAGTCCTTGCTGGCTTCCTGCTGATGGCTGTTCGCGAGAAAGCTGACAGCAATGGACGACACCGTGTCTTCTCTACTCCGAAGGTAGCTTCGAACTGGAATCGCGACTTTCTCCAATAGCACGCCTCGAGAGTCCAGAAGTCGGAATGAATTGATGACATTGATGTACATGCCAAGAATCTCTTTCGTGCTGGCACCTGCATGAAACAGACGCTTTTGCATCTGTTCGGTGAAGCTTGAACAAAGATGCGCTTTCTCAGCAGAGCCGTTTACCGAAAGGTAGTCCTTGATGTCTTGTAACGCACCTCCACTAGAGGGATACATGCTGACATAGTCGAACAAGGAGTGCGAGCGCATTCGCCCAAAGCTGTTCACGGCGGCAGAAACGAACTGCCGTGCCGGCAGTTTCGTGGAAATATTGCCTGACAACATCGAGACAGCTTGCTCAAGAGCTGGTACAAGATGGTTCGCGACCCAAATACGCAACCTTTGGATTGTTCCTCGCTGTCCTGACCAGTCGACCTGAAAACATCTCCTCTCGATCGCGGGTCCTTGTAGTAGCCTATGGATAGCGTGTGCAAATGCTCGTTCCCCTTGACTACCGCCCAGCCCTACACTTTGCAGACTGCGCAAAGCACTCAAGTCGAAGGCGATGGTACAGCGGCATTCGTCGTCTGTCGGGGAACACGGAGAGTTGCAGCTGTTCTCAAGAGCGTCTTTCATGCTATGAAATAGATAGCTCGACAAAGTGTTCTGCAGGCGCTGCCGCGGCAGCGAATGGAGGACTAGTACGTGGAACTCCTCCCTCACCAGTTCCATGAAGGCATGCAGGAATTGACGGGAGGTCGGTGCTTCCTGGCCGGAAGTATCGATGGCAAAGTAGACATTTTGAGCGTTCTGGAGCACTTCTGTTGTGGTAGAAAGAGCATTTCGAGCCAGCTCAAGCGGTATTGGGTCGTGCCAAAAATGAAGTTGCGGAAGGACACTTTGGCGAAAATGAGCTGTGATTTCAGATGTATACCATTGCAGGAGTTGCTTCTGAGTGGCCCTCGTGCTCAGTAGAACACGCAGCGCATTCTCAGTGTCGCTTGAACGAGACAGATGTCGCGGACTTGCTTGCAGGCCGGGCGAAAGTTTCAAGAAACGCGTTGCAGAACGCCATGCTTGGTCAAATGGTGCGGCCGCTGCGTCTGATGGTCGAGACTCAGGACTGCGTGAGGGGAATATGGAGCTGCAGAGGCTCGAAGGTGCGGCGACGGCGGCCATGGGTCATGGTAGAGATTGGCATGTATCGTGATCGTGTTTGTTGATCCGTGCAAAGCAGCACGAAACACGAAGTCACCTGATGTCGCGCAAGGCAGGCATGTCGTCACCCTCGTCACCCTGCAGGCCGTTTCTGGGCGCAGCAAGAACGAGAACAAGACAAAACCTACCAAAGCATCCGTGAAGATATTGCTGGCCTTGATATTCCGCGCCAGCCTCTGCAAGCTGTACTCAAACCCACCAAAATTGCAGTATCAAGTATTGCTATTGCTATCCGACGCACATCGATCAATCGCAAGGCAACAAGGCAAAGGGCAAAGCCGGAAACACAGAATTGATGTGATTGGATGTGGGGTGGGGGAGGCAGACATGCCAACGACTACGACTGCGACTGGTATGCACAACAAAAGTCCTTGCGTACGCATGCTCAGAGGATGTGCTGACTTGGACACAGCACAAGACAAGCAGTCGCGCCTCTTGAACGATCCAAACCCCGGCCACTTCAGCCTAATACGAGCCTACCACCTCGCCGACTTGATCACGCTCATGAATGGCTTCTGCGGCGTCATGTCCATCCTTTTCTCCATGCGCTACATTGCAGGTCCACCACAAGAGAAGGCGAATTTGTGGGCTGCCTTGGCACTGCCTTACGCGGGCATGTTCTTTGATTTCTTTGACGGCGCAGTGGCAAGGTGGAGAAAGAAGAGCAGTCTGATGGGCGCAGAATTGGATTCGCTAGCAGATCTGGTATGAAATGCCCACACACTCATTCTGAAGATACACCCTTTCCGCTAACACGATACAACCATGCGCAGATCTCCTTCGGCTGTGCTCCTGCTGCATGCGCCTTCTCCCTCGGCATCCGAACACCCCTCGACCAACTCTTCCTCACCTGCTTCGTGCTAGCTGGACTCGCACGATTGGCGCGATTCAATGTCACCACTGGCAATGTACCAAAGGACAAGAACGGCAAGGCCAAGTACTTTGAGGGACTCCCCATCCCCACGAGCTTGAGCATTGCTGCCTTGATGGCCTACTGGACAACGCAGGACTGGATTCAGGAGAGCGTACCCTTGGGCACCATCATGCAAGGCACCATCTTGGAGTTCCACCCCATCGTTGGTCTTTTCTTGGTCCACGGATCCTGCATGTTGTCTAAGACGCTGCACGTTCCGAAGCCATAAATTTGGTCGAGCCCAGAATGCTTTCAAGCAAGCAAGGCGCTGGTGGTGAGATATCTCCTAAGGATACTGATGGATAGGGCCAGTTTGCATTCACGATACCCAAAAGCCGCAGAGTCAACATGAACATGAAACGAGAAATGTAGTCTAGAGCGTTCAGCAGCAGCACAACCTCAAGAATCCATAATCTCTCTCACAGCCTTCTTCATTCACTCTTCACAACTTCAAAGGGATGTCGGGTCACATTGTCGAAATGGCTTGCAAGATGAGAATGACCAGCTGGACACAGGCTCATGTCACAGCCGCGGGTTGTGAACGGACGTTGAGGGCACCCCGTCGAACGTAGAAATGCCATCCTTGCTCAGTACGATGCAGTGAAGCGTATAGCGATTCGTAAAAGGTGTTCGTTTATTTGCTACCAGATCTCTGGTAAGGTACACTCCTTGTTGCAGTTGGATGAGCTTTGAAGTCAAATCCTTCGTGCCAATGCGGGCCTCTATGGGAGGCGACGTACTATAAGCCTATGAGGACGGATTGGCAGGTGGCATCGCGACTTGAAGCTTTTGCATCATGAACATTACATCAAATCCAGCATCGTCCACTGACTTCTTGTTCACCTAGATCGTCAAGTAGTCATGGCTCCCATTCACTCCGTCAATTCCAGTGATCGGCAAAATTATCGCACCGCCTGCCCGCGGCAAAGCGACAGGAGTGAAATGATGATGTCCTTGACTTATTAGACGGATTTCGCCACGCCTTTTGATGCCGCTCCAGGTGCCGCTCTAGGCGCCGCTCTAGCTCCGCTAAGAGCCTCGAATAGGCCTAGTATTCCTTCTCTTCCGCTTCGTGTAGATATCGTGTTTTCGAGCGCGTAGCGCGTATAGTATAGGCAAAATAGCTAAAGTAAAGGCGGTAAGGTCGCGCCTACTAGTAATCGTCGCTATATTAATCGCTTTAGTATATACGAGGCGTAGAGACCGTAGTTTCCGCTCGCGGCCGACGATTCCGTATACAAGGAAGGTATAGAGTCTAGATAACTATATCGATATAAAGGTAGAAGATAAATATAGGTACGTCGCCGGTAGAGGTTGTTATTATTAATATAGAGGTTATTATTAATAGCTAGTATATATTAGAAGGTTAGAAGGACCTTACTACCGCTACGCTTAGCTAATTACCGCGGTAATAGGTTTAGTAAGGTAGAGATTCGCTTCCTAGCTATTATATTACGAATCGATACTATATAATAGTCTAATCGTTACGTCTACGAGCCGGAGTTAGCATTCTATATTATATATCGGCGGCTATCGTATCCGTGTCGCTAGAAGGACCTAACTAACTATTTTAGACGACCGAAGTGCTTTCTATCGACAATCTTCTTAGATATAATACTCTATATCTAAGAGCAGTTTAGAAGCCTTGTTTATTAGTACCTACGATTAAGACGATATTATATTATAAGAGGCTTCGTACGTAGTATTAAAAGAGCTAGTTATTTAGGCAACTTTTAGGGTTTTATTAATAGTACTTTCCGCGGTACTATAAGGCCTCTTCGATTTACCTACGATTAACGGATTTACTATACGGGGCATAAGAAGAAGCATAGCTACAAATTCTAAGGTATTATTATACCTAACGGTATACTATCGTCTCTCCTCGGCCTATACGAGGGCAGAATAAATAACTAGTCTATCTAGCAAGATTCCCCTATTCCTAACCGAATACGGCGTCTTATAGATAAACGGAGAATGCTCTATCTATACGGCGATCTAGTATACTATTAT